CTATAGCGACCCAGAACGACAGACCGGCTAAAGGCTCAGAAACCTTTGCAGGTGTTTAGTTTTAATTTGCTGATTACAATGTGACGCCACGAAATTCCAATATGTAAGACATATCTAAGACACTGAATTTTGGGTTTTTCATATCTGTAAGCCATAATCATCAAAAATACGAGAAATAATGACTTAACTAACATCACTCTGTGTGAGATCTGAGTTTTCCTTTTTTTAAAATAGAGACAAAAACTACTGAACTTTTTCAAAAATGGCCATGTTTTAATTTGTATTAAGCTATCGTTATTCGGTGACCTTCCTTCAAAATGTTTTATATTAATGCGAGTACAAACAACTGTTTGCAGTTAATGATTTTTTTGTCGGACACACGTAGTCGTGCTTATAACAAGGGTCAACAGAAGGAAAGATGTTTCCATTTAATATGTTCTTATTTTCAGCACAAAAACTCATCTTAACATTACCAGAGTAACAAGGACACATTTCTGACAAACCCTCCTGTTGTTTTTTGTTTTTTTTTGTTTTTTGAAGTGGTTACTAAAAATACCACGGAACATTCTTGTATTATTTGGGCTTCTGAATGCACATTTGTATGTCTGTGACGTATGAATGTGTGTGTGTTTTGGGTGTGGACGGTGGCTCAGTGCACCATTTGTGCACCTGCTATGCATCACTTACTTCTTTCTATATACATTCTCTCAGCTCATCTGCAGATTAACTAGCCGTCATTATTATCCTTTAGCTCCGACTGACATGTTTCTGGTATGTCTTTTTTTGTGGTGTGCAGTTTAGGTTTGTAGTTTGTTTTCACATTAGCCCGTCTTTGTTGAACACTTCTATTGTTATCTTACTACACATGTTTGATGAATCACTGTCTTTAGACTTCATGATTGAAAATAAACGTAACAAATTTGTTCTTAACCTTCTTTGGATTCAGAAGTTTGAACTTCTGTCGGACGTTTAGGGTTTTCACTTCACGAGCTTCTTGGAAAAGTTTGCTGGAATTTCATGCCATTCCACTGGACAAAACTGTGGAGTCAGGTCCTCATACACACTTTTTTCAGCTTTGCCCAGGAAACTTTCAGTGGAACTGAAATGGCAGTTTTGTGATGGCCACTCCAGAACATTGACTTTTTTGTCCTTGAGGCATTTTGTAACCAAAGTGGTAGTATGCTTACGGTCATTGCTCAGTTAGAAGACTCATTTCTCTAATCTGTCTCAGACAGTAATACGTAAAATGTTTTTTACATCGCATACTGGGGCTCAGCAACATGGCTGGAAAACTTGTCTCGAGATGAGCATTTCATATCCAAACATCCAAAATATTACGAAACGTTGACGTGGCCTTATCCAGCTTCCTCTTGAGTTGTCATATTCATTCTCTGCTTTCACTCCACGCCGATCGTTTTTATTTTTCAGCTCTTCTGGAATCTTCTAAGGATCTCGCAGAAAGAGTTGGAGAGTTTCACTGGGGAGAGGAAAGCCTGGGTTTCCCTCCAGCGTCTGTTACTCCCAGCTCTGAGCTGCGGACAATGCATGAATGAATGTGTTGGGTGTGTCGAGTCCATTTTTCTTTGATTTTAATTAGCGTCGGGCAACCAGTGGCAAGGTCTGGAGTGAGATAAAACCTTAAGCCAATGAATTGAACCAGGCAAACGTCTCGTGCTAATTTTAAGGATCCATATCACAAACATTAGGTCTTCTGCAGTGAACGGAGGGCAGTCCTGACCGCCACACTCGGTTGCCTCATTGTGCCGTTTGTATATTTAGCTGCCCTGTTCCACTTCCTCCGCTGCTAATGTTGGGAAAACACACAACAATACAGCCGTAATTCTGACCTCCCCTCTTTTCCTCTGCTATCGGCTTCTCACCATCTTCTCCGCCCTGTGGTACCTTCCCTTGAGTCGGTGGTCCCTTGTTCACTTTCCATCCCATCAAAGCCTTCTTTGAGAAAGAAACTGCGAAGTGATTCACATGACCCAGGCAACACAAACACAAACTTCCCTATGCTGGAATTAGATTAGAATACAATCCGAAGGCCCCCAAAAAAAGGACTATTAGTGAGTAAAATCTGAATCACGCCTTCAGATGAAAATAATAGCCCCAGTGACTCACACACACACACACACACACACACACACACACACACACACACACACCCACACACACACACCCACACACACATACATTTCTGGCTTCATTGTTCCTTCCTTGTTTTGTCTCCATTTATGAGGTGTTCATCAGTTTACTCTGCTGGCCAGATTTGGTGACAGAGTTAAGATGTAAATAATCTCATTTGATTTCTTTTTTTAGGACTTGAACATGGTGCAGATCAGATGCAGGACCTGTGAGTTTTGGGATCTCTCTGTATATTTACACCCATTAGGAACTCCCTAATGGGAACGCTCATTACAAGCCAGGAATGGAAATAGTTCTTTCATCAAAGTTCATACGGCTTCATGGGAGAATAGTTTTTTTAATTTATTTATTTGTTTTTCTGTTGTTGTATATATAATGTATTGGCCCTGCAAATAGATTTAAAACAGGATAAGAAAAATGTGTCAGATTACCAAACATTTTTGTACAAACAGCTTGAAAATTGTCATTCTTCATGTTAAATTAAGGTGCATTAACAGTTTTTGCCACTCAAAATAAAATTCAGTTTTTTTTCTCAAAATGTTGACTTTAATATTCTGAAATTAAAGTAATTTTTTTTTCATCGACACCAATCTTCTTCTATAGATTTCCATTGAGGAAAAATCTAAAAGAGTCACTTGATTCTTTAAGTGATTCTTAAAAAGAATCAAGAAAGTGATTCTAATTTCACTTATTAAAGATCAACATTTTCACAGAATAAATGAGATACAAACAAAAGGCCTTCTTGCTGAGGTCAAAGTTAGGACATACCTACACCTAGTAAATTGCTAGTTTTGTCCTCATTGCTTGAAGTAAATGCAGTCAGACTCTTCTGGGCATCTAGTCTATCTGCAGGTAGATATTTGAAGGGTTTCTTCCAGGTACCGACTTTTTCAGGTCAACCTACAACATCTCAATGTCAACATCTTGATCTTAATCCTCAGTTTTTTTTATGGATTCACTCGTATGTCTTGAGTCAGTAGTCATGTTTCCATTAACCATAAAGTTGCACAAAACGAAAATAAATTTGCTTGAAGGAAGCTCTGTGCTGATGTCCAATAAAAAAAATCCGATTTGACTCCCATCTGTCCACAGAACGTCACTCCAGATGAAGTTCTCATCTTTGTCTATGTTCTGTTGGACAACTTTGACCTGGGTGGGTAAACTGAAACGGATCCACCATGGCGGTATTTGCCGAAAAGTTCGGCGCTGGACATTTGAGATTATCTAGGCAAGACTGTCGAGACGAGATCAAAGCAGGTTGCAGAGGTTGTGTGTTAAGTCTGTGGCCCGAGTTTGAACTTTGCCTCATCCTGCAGCAGGAAGCTGGCTAACGTAGAGAGGGGGAGAAAGTCACACCGCGAACTGGATCAGGATATTAGACAGGAAGTACATCAACTCTCCAACTCATCCGAGAATGCTGGGAAGCATTCGGCGAGTGATGAATGACGACGATACAGATGGATAAAGGATTTCAATACTTAATTATCAATTTGCAAACTGATTAACTTAACTGCCTCTGAAACCTGACCTGCTTGCATGTTTATGAACTTCAGAGTCTTTTGGAATCTAAATTCCACAAATTTTCAGAAATTAGATTAGTTTGGTTCTCGCTGTAGCAACATTTTATCTCCACGTCCTTTTAGACCAGCGTTTCTCAATCTGGTCCTCACCGCCCCCCTGTCCTGCATGTTTTAGGTATTTCCCTTCTGCCACACACCTGAATTGTATCTCTGGGTGATTAACAGGCTTCAACAGTACTTGATGGTCATGCAATCATTTGAATCAGCTGTTCTGGAATAGAGGCTCATCTAAAACATGCAGAGCAGGGGGGGCGGTGAGGACCAGGGTTGAGAAACACTGGTTTAGGGGATATGATAAAATAGGAGATTTCTGCAAACAAGCAGGCACAACAAACCAAACCAAGTTTTCTCTCTAAATGAACAAAGTTTGGCATTAAGGTTGGTTTTTTAAAAACAAACAACAAAAAAAGCAATAGTTAAAAGGATTATTGCCAAGGCTTCTAATAAAATAACCTCATAGTGATGCTGTCTGAACTTATCTAAGGTCGTAGATAGAGATTTTCTTACCAAGTGGCTGCAAGAATATTCCTTTGACTTGTTGGAAATATAATGTTAAATTTCCATATGATCTTTTTATTAGTCCATGACTCTCATTTGAGCTCCCAGGTTTGGTAACAGCCAAAAACAATAACTAAAAATTTTAATTAACATTTTAATTAATGGTTCATTGGGGAAGTGCATAATTGTGTGAAAGGGAAGTGATGGGTATTTTACTAGACTATTTTTTTTTTTTTTCAAATAAAAATCTGACTGTGCCATCTGGAGAACCACATTTTGCTAGAATTAAAGCTGCCAGATCTCATTCCTACAGCATAACACTGCCTTCACCATGTTTATTGGTCAAGATGGCGTGTCAAGACTGATTTGCAGGTTACATTATCCACATTGTGTTTACAATGATTATTTTAGTGATCAATTATTCTATTTATTATTCTGACGATGAATCAAGCGAATAAAAAAAGTGGCACACTTTGCAACTTTTGCATTTAACCGCTTACGCTTTTATAAAATATGTATTGTATAAATAAGTCATATTTGATATACGACATTTTAATAACAACTGAAGTTAACATAGTTATTTGATTGTGTTATAAAATGGCTCTATGTGCCCCTTTAATTCGTAAACATGCACTTTGTGGTGGTCCACCACGTTAGTGCCAAATATATTTAAGTTTACAATTCCAGCATGATAGCTGCTTCAAAAATGTAAAGGTTGCATGTTTTTGTTGTGAGGTGCCTTTATGTCAACTAAAAACAAACTTGCAGTGCAAAATCATTCGACAAACAAAACGTGCACTGATGTTTTTCACCAGAGAAGGTTTGCTTTGGAGATACTTTCATATTTACCTCCATAACAACATAATGATTCATCTCTTTCTATACATCGAATTGTTAAGGCGCAAAAAAAAAAAAAAAAAAAACTGTTGCGGTCCATCTCCTGCATGTATCCGTGTCATGGACAGCTGTGAAAAGTGAAGAAATGTTTGACATTATCCCACCTGCGGGAACTCACGCACACACACACGCACGCATGCACGGACACACACATGCACGCACACACACATACGTGTTAGAGGTACGTCTTCTTCCTCTGTTACATACCGGGAATGTCGAAGTTGGAGCACTGACAGCGAGCAGCTCTGTTAACCTGATACAGACACTCATAGGAGTACAGCGGGGTCATCGCCGCGGAGGAGGGGTCGTACTTCAGTCCGTCAGTGACTCAAGTGACCTCTCAGTCAGCCCTATCGGTCTGTATGCTGCAATGAGGTTTTAATTAGTTTTAACTGCTTTGCCACTTGCGCTTTTACAGTGAAGTCTATTCTAATGGTGTTTTTGTTTGCACGAAACAAGAAAAACCTTGAAAACCGTCAGCAATCGAGCCTTAAAGTTTATTCTTATCGAGATAAATATTGCTCTACAACGGCAGCATTTTACGCAGGCCGGTATTTATGACTACATGTTTGTGTGAAGTCCAGAAATAGCCCCCACCGAGCTGCCTCTTTCCTCCGTCTTTCTGAACCGCAGAAGAGGAAGAATCTGCCTTGACCCCCAGGTTTCCGCGACGACTTGTCACAACGTGACCCAAAAACGAAACGTCGGAGCTTCCCGGAAAACACTCTCTGTCTCCGTCTGCTCTGGAAATGAGTGCAGATTTGTCTTTTGTTTCAAAACAAGCTCATCTATAATAATTTGCCACGTAACAGGTCAGAGCACCGCTGCTAATGCCAACCAGATAAAAACCTAAGAGAGAAAGTGCATCTGCGTCCTTCCTGCTTGAAAACTTGGATTCTATATTTACTAGGGCCCTGGACTTGAAATTAAATTAAATGAAATTAAAACTTTATTTATTTTTGAACGTGTAAAATGTCAAAATGGTGTGTTAAGACAAAAGAAAAAAAAAATCATAATAAAGCATAGAAATACAAACCTTTCATATTGTTCAAAAAGAAGTAGAAAGGAAACAAAGCTTGTTAAATCCTAAGTTTTGTTGGATCTTAAATCAGTTAGTTAATTTTGATTAATTACTCGCACAGATTTTAACACGCTAAAAATATTAACACAATAAATTGCATTTCTTTACAAACAAAAGTCCGGAGACGGAACCTTTGTATTTCTGGTGCTCTCACAAATATGACACACGTAAGCGACATCGACAAACTTCTCTTGGCACACTGCACGGCGCAATTTCAGAGCTAAACTGAAACTGTTGCACACCTGGCAGTGGCTACTTCCTGGTCGCAGGTAGCTGCATCCATTCCACAGCTATATGATTGATGACGGGCTGGTACGCTAACTGAGCAACCATTACCGCTAACTGAGTAACCAGCATCGCTAACTGAGCAACCATTACCGCTAACTGAGTAACCAGCATCGCTAACTGAGCAACCATTACCGCTAACTGAGTAACCAGCATCGCTAACTGAGCAACCATTACCGCTAACTGAGTAACCATTACTGCTAACTGAGTAACCAGCATCGCTAACTGAGTAACCAGCATCGCTAACTGAGCAACCATTACCGCTAACTGAGCAACCATTACC